CAAAATAGAGAAGTGATCCTTTTACCACTACTCTAGCTGCTGAAGAGATCAAATAGGATTAAGGTAGCTCTCTTCAAATAAAAAGATCGACAGAGCAAATACCCTTGCCATAATAATCACAACAGTTAAAAAAAAAATCTTAATTTTGTAAAGGGCTAGTGGGAAATAAGGTATACACCAAGTAATCTCTCAGGGGAAAAAGTCACTGAGGTCTACTTTTTAAAAGTATTTTATTTCTAAATTTAGGTATTTTTTGAGGGAATACTGACTTGGGATGGAGAGGATCTTACCCTGACAGGAAAGGAAGCTCTGCCTCCAGGACTGTTCCATACAGACAGGCAAAGCTATTGCTCCTTTACAATATCTCTGGTGTATATATACGTGGCACCATGAGAGTATATATTTTCATGGAGTCACTTTTCAGTTTAACTATATGCACGTAATGTCCGCTCTTAACACAATTTAAAAAAAAAATTTTTTTTGCTGGGCATGGTGGTGAACGCCTGTAATCCCAGCACTCGGGAGGCTGAGGCAGGAGGATCGCTGTGAGTTCGGGACTAGCCTGGGCTACATAGTGAGTTCCAGGTGAGTTTCAACTACGTAGTGAGACCCTGTCTCAAAAAACCAAAAAATAAAAAATAAATAAAAATAAAAACTTTTTTTGTACCGGGGATCCAACTCAGGCCTTGCGCCTACCAGGCAGGCGGCGGCACCACTGAGCTAAACCTCTAGCTATACAATTTTAAAATGATTTAAACTTTAGATATATAAAATCATTGTCCTGTATTTACATGTGGTTCATTTTTAATTCTTTAATCTCAATTGACAGGAATATGTTTCAAACTTTTTTCTCAGTGAAAGAGAAAATGCTGGTATTTGTTACTTTCTTAATTCCCTCATGATACTATTGCCATTCTGACATTCTATCATTTCTTTTAATCACCTATTTTGTGATTTTTAATAGGAAAGTAGTAACTGTTTTGAAAAAACGCACAAAAACTTTGGGAAAAAGTTAGTGATAAAATTTTATTTACTTCTGTCACCTAAAAACAGTACAAAAAGATGAGATAAAAAAACTTTTAAAACACCATCTATCTCACCTCTCACCCCCCACACGGCTCTCCTTAGATAATTTTGGCTGATGACACTGCAGAACAGTTAATCTGACAATTAAAATTTTCCACAACATGTGATGTTTAGATGGAGATTTAACCAGAATTCAATGCTGTCAACCAGAATTCAGTACTTTAGTTAAAAAAAAAAAAAAAAAAAAAGCTTAAAACTTGAATACACAAGAGGTGCTGACACTGATTTAACCAGACTAATTTAGCAACGCGGTATCTTAAAAAGTATTTCCCAGGACTTTCCTTACAACAATCCAGCACATAAATTCTGTACGCTGCAATGTAAACAAATAACCGAGAATCTCATATCTAAGAAGGAAAATATTCGATCAATATCGCCCAAAGTGGTTCAAAAGTTGCAGAAGAAATCACCCGTCTTGAGTTACCAGAAATTTATCTCACCGAGTTTTCTAGGTGTCCTCGCCGGCCTTACAAACTACGATCCAAACATCATTCCACAAACCCGTGCTCTGCACGTTCACAAAAGCGCTGTGGTGGAATGAGGAAGCTTCGCCAAGACGAAATCACAACTCTAATTCATTAAAAAAATATTCAGACTGTGTTCTACAAAGCCCTCTTTTGTTGTGCCTCCCGACTCTTTATATAGCTACATAAAAAGCTTCCTGGTTATTGACATCTAGGAAAAACAGCTTTCGATTCCCAAGTCTAGTAATAGGGCTGGCCACCATCGCCACTTCTTTAGCATCCTAAAATAAACCCGAGCCGCGGTCAAAACACACTGAAACGTCTCGGTGTTTACACGGCCCCGACCGGGGCGCTACCCTATCTTCCTGAGCCGCTTCGGAGCTCTGAAACAGGCATCATCGCATAACAGACTCAGAGAACAAGTCACATGAGACAATGTCTCAGGTCTATGAATGAAAAATCCAAACGTCTGATTGTCTCGCTAAATGGAAAAAACAACCTCGAGAGGAAGGGTGGGAGGGGAGCTGCGGGTTGAGGGGAGCAGTTTTGCTTCCATACCCCTGCCGGGCGATTTAAACCCAGTACGAGGCGAGCGCAGGGCCGCAGTCCTCGGGCGTGACAGCCCCTCAGGAACGGCTCGCCGTGGGCCTCCAGG